TGGCTTTCCCGGGGCAGGAGGGATTTAACCATCCGGGTATTCCCTGCAGCTAGCCCCGAATCTGCCAGATGCTTCTTATGGAATGAAAACAGAACAATAACAGGGGACTGCAGGAAGTTGGATGCCATGTGAAATGTTGAGCTTCCTGATATGAGATGTATTGCAGGAGAAGTGGTAGATTCCAATAAGGGAATTCACAGATCAGATGAAAGTGTAGCATTTCTCTGAGTGGTGCTACATAGTGCCCACATCAGAATCACCCAGGGTATGCAGACAGGGATTTTTTTCATGTCCTATAAGATAGTTTTTAATATAAAGAAAAGACGGGTTGGAAACGACTTTGTTCAACTACTTTTTAAAAAATAAGCTTTGATTTAGTAAGGTCATAAATTCAAATGCTTATTTTTTTTTGAGCTTTCACTTTTAGCTAACATAACTTATAACTTTGTTTATACAGCTAGCAGATTTTAACAACCATTTCCAAGAAAGTGCTTGGTGAATGATTTGTTTCATTGAAAAGTTTAGTTATACTCCTTTAAACATTTAAAACTGCATTTGTAAATTTTATATTTTATCTGCCCCATGAAAATTCTTAAGTTTCAAAGATTACTAAGGTTGTTCCAGAGGGACTCAAGAACCAATCTGAATGAGCCAAGATGGGAGATTGGAGAATCAGTAGAGGTAACACTGAAAAGTTATGCAAAGTGACAAGTGATGACTGAAGCCCCTCAACTATGCCCATTATGGCACTGAACAAAAAAAAGGAAACACGAACACTAGCTTAGTTACCCCTAGAGGATTCTAAGGAATTGCCTCATTATTTGCAAGATGGTAAATACAGAGAAAGAATCAAGTAGGATCCTGCCTGCCCTGTGAGAGCCATCTCTCAGGGTAACCAAACACCGATGAGGGGAAGTTCCTCTTTATAGCTGTGGTTCAGCTAATACCTGAAGGAGTGAAAGCCTCTTACCCTGTGTATCTCCTGAGGAATTAGTAGCCGGGTAGTCATCATTAGTGGCTGCTGATACCATGGAAATATGGACACCAGACACCCAGACTGTCTGTATGTGCTCCTCATGGAAACTCACCACCACTTCTCATGTAGTTTCATAGAAAAAAACAATTTTGAAACTAAATCTGGTCAAAGATCTAATTACCAGTTTTTAGAGTCTGCACAGGGATAGAGGAAGGTGTTAAACTAACCCCCAAGGATATGATTCTCAGACTCTGGAAAATGTTACTTGACAAATGAGTCTGTTTCTTCCATAAAAAAAATTTAAGCAAAAAAAAGACAAAGATGACAGGAGACTTATAGGTTATAGGAAGCTTAAAACTCACACCAATTTCAGTGTATATTCAGATCCCATTTCAGTCTGTGTGTGTGTGTATGTGTGTGCATGTGTAAAGGGTGATTGTGGCAGTGTGATGTTGATAGGACATCTGATGACATTAAGGAATTAAAAAAATTTTTTACGTGTAATAGTAGTATTATGGTTAAGTTAAAAGTTCTTTTTATGAAGATAACTGGCAGTAGTTGTAAATTATATGATATTTGGGGTTTGCTTCAGATAATCTTGGGGGCGGGGAGCTTAGTGAATGGGATTCTAGAAGAAATGAGATTAGCCATGAATGGAAAAGTTTTGAATGCTTTATTACAATTTGGTCTCTTTTTTTGTGTATGTTTGAGGTTTACCAAAGTAGAAGTTTTTAAAAAATGCTTTTGTCTAATAATGCAAAAATAATTCCTGCAAAAATTAATTTAGGCAATTCCTGCAAAATGAAGAAATTAAACTCATAAGTATCCCTAAGGTTTTAATTTCAAATCACAAATCTAAATCATACAATCACATATTTTAAATTGGAACCATGAGATGAATCATCAAACAGTATAAGTCAGTAAAACACCAAATATGCACAGGTTTTTTTAAATACAAATTGTTGACATTAGGGATTCATTTCTCCAACATTTCTGTACCTAATTCTTGGTGTTCAAAGATGCTAACATACCAAGGAAACAATTTGGTAGTCCCCTGCAAATTTGGCATTACCTTCCCAAGTATTTGGTATTGCCTTCTCATCTGACTGAGGATTCTTGTGTGTGTGTGTAAATGAAGGGTACTTATTGCAATGTGTGTAAGTGAAGCCACACCCATTCTTTTATATGATATATGTGTTGCTTTTGCATTACAGTGACAGATGGTTGTAACCATAAGACTCACAAGGCCAAAAATATTTGCTATCTGGGCCTTTAGGGAAAAACAAAATATTATTCCTTTCTCATTCACTTCAGTTTGGTTGAAGATAGGGATACCATTTTTCTTTCTTTCAAATGGATTACAAATGATTACAGCACCATTTATTAAATAGTCCATCTTTTATGACTGAGGACTCTTACTGACCTAGAAGACCCTTGGCCAAAAGGCAAATTGGGCCCTTGTCTGCTACATAGAGGGGGGCATCCCCAGGGCTTGGTGGAGTTGCTCTGGTAATGCCCTCCAATGAAATCTTCCGGCTGTGGGTTGACGTCCTGTCAATTACCTAATTTTTCTATTCCTGGAAGATTGTAATTTATACCAAGAGAATAACTAATGACCTTCACTGTTTCAGTTGGTTTTACACTTCTTTTATTTTTGAAAGTCACTTAAATGGCTTCCTGGATAACTCTAAAGACCTGTGAACTTGAGGGAACTTTCTCTTCTAGGGCTTTGTCTGGCTTGGCAAAGAAGGTGCTTCTAGTGAAATGTACTGATCCAACATTGGCAGACGTCTGGTGCAGCTGACCTATGAGTCCTTCATGGGCCCTCAGGCACTTGAGGGAGTCACAGTCAGCATTTAAAAATATAGTAGAATTGGATGGTGTGTATCAGAAGGCATTTCAAATTGCAAGGATAAATATTATTTTTTGAAACATTGGTTTCATTTGTATATATTTAGTTGCAAATGAATTTCTTACTGTGGGTTACCATCAACATTTTTGAAAACCGCCCTTCCATGTGAGGTGGGAAAACAGAGAGGCAGACACAGACGTGTAGCTGTCATCATAAACTGATGGCGAGGAGATCAAGCCAAAAGAAAACACACACACAAAAAACCAGCCTTGGTTAATACAAACATGAGAGCTCAAAACAGAGCCAGCAGTGGTCCCAGAGTGGAAGAACAAACTGTTGTTACTAAAACATGGATGTTCACATTATGGGTTAGCTTTTATGTCTGCTAGTTCCCTCTGTGATTGTTGTTTACCTTTTATTCTCTTTTGGTAGCACAGTGGCTGGCCCAATGTGGGCACTCCATAAATAAATATTTATTGATGTATGTACTAGTGATGAAGCTACCTGTTTCAGAGAACCTGGGGAAGTAGCTTGGGGTCTGGGGATCTGGATTTTAACAAGCTTTCTAGGCAGACAATCTGATGGCAGTTATAGACCAGTATTTAAGAGGCACTGACCTATTCTGCCCACTTAATAATTGGCCCAGGTCACACACACAGTTAGCATGAGAACCAGAGCTGGAATTTGGGTTGTCCACCTTCTAGTAGCAGGCTTTACCGACAACTTCACCAGCATCTCACATTGACCACTTTTCACTAAGCACGTTGCATGACCTTCTGATAGATGTCCTGGACTCTTTGCTTTCCCCATCCCATTTCATCCCCTCTGCTGCCTTCAGGCATTTTCCTAAATTACCCAAAGTTATTTTCCTACCCTGTTATCTTTGGCATGCCCTGCATTGATGGCATCATTGAGACCAAACGCTCTTGGCTGTCATTGAGGGCTGGACACAGTCTGTCCCAGCCTGTCTCCTCAATGTCTTCTCTCTTTGCCACTCTCCCAAATCTCTCTTTACCCATCTCCTTCAGCCAGGGCCCCCCAGACCACTTGGCCTGCCCCAGGAGCACCCTTCCCAGACTCTGATCTTCTGTTCATGTTGCACCCTCCAATCAGAACAGGCTCTTTTTACCTCTGAATTGCATCCATCCTGTCAGACCAAGTTCAAGTGTCATTTCTCTAAAATCTTCCTGTTTATTGAATTACACCTTCCTTTTCCTTTGCTTCTCTTTGCTCTTTGCTCATATTCTGTTATAGCTTCTGAGACACACTGCCTTAGATTTTGTTAGATTGGCCTGATTCATCTCTCTGACGGGGAAGTAAGTTCCTAGGAGACAGAATTCTTTCTTTACAGTATGTGTTCTTTTCTTCCCTATATTCCTTACTCTCTGCAGTCTCTTGCAACTAGTATTAAATGTCATATCTGTTTAATTTTTCTGAGTTATGATTACATCAGACTTAATATTAATTGGTAACTTGGCTGGTTCACTTGTGTAAACAGGCTTCATCCTCTAGATGAAGCTGCAGAGCTCCTGTGACTTCTTTGCCATTTTATTCCTTTATAAGTACAATTAAGGTATTGCAGGATTTATGTGCTATTCATGATAAAGAATTCTTTGTTTTTCCTCCAGAGAGGAGGTGGGCAGATAAACAATAGGGTAGTGATCTTGAAAGAAAGTGCTAGAAAATTAGATCCTTAATAGCTGCTATTTTCAAGAGATTGGTGGGAAGGGAGTAGCAGTTAAAGAAATGAATATGGCATGAAAGAAAAATATAAGACAGAGGATGGCAAGTGAAGGGCATCTACAGAGCTACCCCGTGGGTGTAAGAGAACCCTGCAGCTCAGCCTTCCTCGCCCACCAGGATTCTGTTTGAGGTCGGTCCTCTTCTCCTAGCAGAGCAATGTTTGGGCTGTACCCAAGATAACAAGTCCTCAGCCCAAATTAGACATTAAAGTACAAAGCCTAGCACAGAAGTAGACATGGCTCAAGTGCTTGTATTTTGCTGACTCTGATGCCTATTAAATAACTTCTGGGTGGTCACCTTGGGGTGATTGTGAAAAGTGAAATTATTATTAAATGTCTTTTTGTTTCTGTCATGTAAACTAAACCTAACATAAAAAACAAGATGAAAATCCTCAAATTGACAGTGGTCTGTCTGTTTTTGCTGTTGTAGGTTCCTTGCGTTGACGCCATGGAGAGTGTATCACCTGATTTCCGTCATGATACTGGGCCGTGTTATTATGCAAATAATAAAGGATATGGTTTTGTCTAGAACGAGAGGTAAGAAAACTCAGAATTCATTTTTGGCATATTTAATTTTGTTGACCCTCAATGTCTGATCTCTGTGTAGACATATTAACCAAGTAGTCCTTTAAAGAGGAACAAAATAATATTATATAGATATTGACCTTGCTATTTTTAATGTTTGTTTAAATGTATTTTGATTTTGTATTTATTATTTATTTAACTGATGTCCCTAGTCATAGCTACTGCTCCTGGGAAAAAGTTTCATGCATACTGGTTTCGCTTTTAGGTCAAAGCCTAGTTATTTTAAATACCATTTTGATATGTAAGTAGGCTGCAGGGAGGATAGCAGTTAAGTATTTATTACATTCCACATGATGAAATTGGGCCATTGGTAACTGGAGTAGTTGGTATAAAATTTTTCTCTTTCTTAATGACAGAAAAAAATTAATTTAGGGCTTAAAAACAATTAAGTACTGGCTAAATAAATTATAGAAAATGAGTTGATGAAAAATGAATTTTAAGCATTGTTTAAAAGTAGAAATTTGAATTATTAAAAAAATTTGCTTAAGGTGTTTTCTGAGTTATATCTATGTTATAAATCAGAGTCAAGCTTTTCCACACTTGAAGGGACTCTTTTACCAGGGTTTGAGCTGATTTTTGTGAAGGGGCAAAAATCCCTTAGAATATTTGCACCCAGTGGACCTAAGTGTGATAAAATTGATTTGACCCAAAATAGCTAAGAGGAGGTTATGTTGAGTCTTTGGATTTCACTAAATATACCCCAAATGGAGGGATAATCTTGGTTGGGTCCATATACACTGACATATGCACTGCCCCGAGTTCTAACCCAAGCTGGGGTACAGAGGCCTGCCTTATAGGAGGCAGCCTTCTCTCCCCTGATGCTAGCTCTGAGATTGAATATAAGCTCTTACCCATTTACCATCACGATGTTCTGTGGTGCGCTTTAAATCCAGCTTATATTCTAAGTCTATGGTTCGTAAACTGAATCATGTATAAACCATTTTAGAAGGATTATTTTACATTGATGTGTTTCAAAGTTTGATAATTCCTTCATTCTTGTGTTCTGAAAGGTGAACAAATTCATGTGTGTGTGTGTGTGTGTTTTATCTTTTATCTTTTAAATTTCATTTGAGGAAAAATCAATTGGGATTGAGCAGTACCAAACTGGAAGGGGTTAAGAGTGCTCCCACAAACTCATTTTTGTCCAGTTACTGCTTTTTGTGAATCGTAGATTTAGTTTATGTTCTTCCATCTCTGCCCCTCTCCTCTCTGTCCCTTCCCACCTCTCCCACCTTTTATGTTTCAGAGAACAGACACCTAACTCCCTAACTTTTAACTCAAACAGGCCCCTGCCTTGATACTTTCTTCCTCACAGATGTGCTGAAGGCCCTGCAGAGGTGGGGCATCTCAGTGTTTTGTACAGGGGTTGCTCAAATCAGCCCATGGGGATACCCATGCTTGAGCCTGGATTCAGAACTGATAGAAGAGAAGCCATTTTCCTTCAAATACATTTTGTAACATTTTCCCCTCTGAGGACCACTCTCAGGGGGATCTTAGAAGAAATAGCCACTTACAAATTTTATCTCAGTAACCATTTTAGCTCAGAGCAAGTTGACTCAATGCTAGCTGAGCATCTTGATTTTTTTCAGTTTTGTATTAAATTTGGTCCCAGCCTTGGCACAAGTTATAGGGAACAGACAAATGGGGAAGGCCAAGGGTGAAGGTGGAAGACTTTGCAATTGTCTTTTCTCACTCTTGGCCCCTCACCCAGAGATCATTCTTAGCATTGACTCATTGGCTTGATTCTAGCCCATATGGAACTTGCATATTCGCAGATTGCAGGAAACCTCTACATGGCAAAGATCCAGTTCTTTAAGAAATTAACGTAGCTGGTGGGAGAACACTAGCCTGCAGGGCCTGTCTCCTGAGGTCACCCCCTCGCTGCCAGCTGCGGGAGAACCCCATCACAGACCCCGTCCGTTTCTGAGGCTGCTCTAGGAGGCTCTAGGGAAGGATTCCTTCCTGTTTCCAGCTTCTGGCGGCTGCTGGTGGTCTTGGCCTGTGGCACCTCTCCTGTCTCCGCCTCCTACTGTCACTTTCTGCTCTTCTGCCTGTGTCACATTTCCCTTTGCCTTCCTGTTACAGGATGTTGTGATTGCACTGGGGCCCACCTGGATAATCCAGGCTATCTCCCCATCTCTGGGTCCTTAACTTAATCATAGCTGGTAAATCCTTTTTCCATAAGAAGTAACATTTTGTGGGTTTCAAGGGTTCAGACCTGATGTTTTCAGGGCTGTAATTCCACCGGTTACACAGTTGGAATTTCTTTATCTTGTGAAATGGCAGAACCCAACCCATTCGACCCAAACCACAAGGTAGTGTGTGGGTGGAATAAGAGTGTAGAATAGAAGTGCCTTGGGCACAGCAGCAGTTGACTGTGTCCAGCTCTGACAGAGTCAGAACAGCATGGGGTGCGTTCACACCTCAGTCTCAGCGCCTTTCTGCGCCAGGACCTCTTGCAGGCCCTGGGCCTCCAGTGGGATCCAGACACACCACAGCCTCTTTGCCCAACTGGAGTTCTCATGCTCCATCCTGCCGGGCAGGCATTTGTCACGGCCTGTCCTTCTGTCAGGGTTTTCATCAGGTGACTGTTGCTCTGAACAACAGCATTTCTATGGCATGAAAATAAAGGAGAGTAGGATTAATTCCTGTGCTTTCCCAGGACACCTCAGTCTATGACTGAAGAAACACTGGTTCTTGCCTCACCCTCCACTAGTAGTGTCTTTTAAAACAAAGACCCATTTGAGCCCTGTAAATAGCTGGCAGGCGTGGCGTCTGGCGGTGCAGGCCATTCAGGCCAGGACCTTGCTGTGATGAATTGGTCTCTGGGAAGCACACAATCAGCTTCAAGCTAGATCCAGATGCAGTTATGGTAACTCCATGGCTTCAACCAGAAGCGCCAGCTGCTCTCACCAGATACCTTGGCTTATAGCAACAGCAAGGAGACGATGAGCAAGCCATCAGGGCTCACAGAGCAGTTCTGTCTTCTTCCATCTCTCAACTTCCCTGCTTCCCACAATATTTATGGCTAGATATTAAACTTCTGTCATTGAGAATTTTTGTTTGTTTGTTTGTTTGTTTTGAGAAGGCATCTCTCATATTTATTGATCAAATGGTTGTTAACAGCAATAAAATTCTGTATAGGGGACTCAATGCTCAATGCACAATCATTAATCCACCCTAAGCCTAATTCTCGTCAGTCTCCAATCTTCTGAAGCATAACGAACAAGTTCTTACATGGTGAACAAATTCTTACATAGTGAATAAGTTCTTACATGGTGAACAGTACAAGGGCAGTCATCACAGAAACTTTCGGTTTTGATCATGCATTATGAACTTGTCATTGAGAATTTAATTGTATCCTTCCTTTCCCTCCATTATTATCTTTAATACCATCTTAGATGCTTAATATGAAATAGGTGAGCAACAGTATGTAGACAGCTTCTTGTGAATTAATCTTTGTAAAACATATGGGAGCCCATGCCTCTGAGTTATGAGCCACAAGCCTGAGCATGATGGATTGCTCCCTCACTTACAGTTGTGTGCTCACTTACACTCGAGTGTGTGCTTCCCTGCATTAACCTCTTTGGGCCCTGGGGAGCACGTCTGCAGTGTAGAAAATTCTGCAGCCTTAGACTTTTCCATGACCACCTCTCTGCTTCTCTCTCATTGCAAAAGAAACTGTAATTTCTGCCTCCAGCTCTATTTAAGATCCTCTTCAAATGCTGCCCTGTGCAGTGGGAGGAGGGCCCAGCTGGTCTCAGCATGGCCAACCTCTGGAGCATTTTCAACAACTGTGTCTTTATACTTTCCCTCCTACAAAATCCACGCTATCCATTTATGTTCTGTCTGGTCAAACTTGAACATGGACCACCAAAAATTATGGCTTATGAGCCATAGGCCTTTGCATACCCTCCATTCTCTGTCATTCTCTGTCATTCCCACTTGCACCCTGATGGCTTTTAAGACATCCTGGATTTGGTCACCTACTGGTGTGGCCTCATCTTTGACCTTAGCCTTGGGAAGCATTATATCTCTAGGCCCTGCAAAGCTGAAGGCTAATCCTCAGTGCACCCTCTAGCCAGCCCTCCCTGGCCTCTTGCTCCTGCTGAACTAGCTCCTTGCCCTCAGCTTAAGCGTTTTCCTGCTCTGCCTCTTACCATGGTGCTGCCTCTCGCCCCTGTGCAGCCCCAGCTGGGTCTCTGCTCAGTGCTTCAGTGCTGCAGTCCTTACCACTCTCTATGTCCTCCCTCCCTTACCCAGTATCCAGACCCATTTTTCCCATTTTTGATATCAAAACAAGTGAACACTGCACACCGTTATCTACTCTCTCCACTCTTGGCTCCAGTATGATCAGAGAAATGTCATAAGGCAGGGTGAATTGCTGCTGCTAGAATTTAGCTTGTCCAACTTTTCAACTTGAGTTGAGACAGCACTAGTTTTCATGATTCTTTAGATTCTTTAGAGTTGTTTATTTGCTTTGTTTTGATATTCCATCCAATCCCAAAATATTTGAGGCAGGTTATAAGGGAACGTAAAAAGTAAAACTATTTAAAAGAGGTCTATAGGAGTGCTAATCCTCATCTCTCATAACAGAAAATAAATGGTCTAACAACAACAACAAAAAGTCTAGTATAAGAATAAGAATCTAACATAGTGACCATAATTGAGCAACATCCCTGTGCTTACTAGCAGCCGAGGCAAAAAGGGAAACCAGATCAATTGAACAATTTTTACAATCTGATGAAAGGATGCAAGCAATTTTGAGAAACTTTTCCCTAAGGCTAAGTTCAAGAAGAACGCATCACATAGACCTTTGATAGGGGATACTGAAGGACAAAAGAGACAACATCTTTGGCATTTGTTTGATGGAAAATGAAGAAACCACCTCATGGCCATTTCTTTATTGGATTTCATTAAAGCTGGTAGCTGGGAGTATAGTATCAAGATATAGTCCAATCAAGAAAGTGACTGGAGAATCGAGAAAGCAAATGACATCAAGGTACTCCTTTTTTTTTTCTGTTGATTTCATTTGAGTTTAGATACAAGCTCAAAACACCTAAATAATGAATAGGTAAGAATCTTCTATCTTAAATAACAGTATTTGTCTCTGTTCCCCTTTTGGCAGTGCCATTTCACAGCTCACCTTACAGGCCACCTCTATTATTGGTACTTTCTTGAGCAGCTGTATTTTCTCTCTTGCCTGAGCTCTCTTGGTATGTACTTCTTGACTAGTTCCTACACCACCTACCTTGGTACACGTTTACTTGAGTGTATGTTTTGCCTGCCACATTGGGCAGTAAAGTCCCTGAGGCAGGACCAAGGGTTTTACATATAGTAGGATCTCAATAAATACTTGTGGACTAATTGCCTAAACTAGTTATGGTACCAGAGGTATACACTCTGTGATTTGGTAGTTTCTAGAGTTTTTAAAGATCTAAGCATTTCATTTTAAATAGCTCCAAATATTTCTCAGTTGAGAAATGCCTCAAGAGAAAAAAAGCTCCATTAATGTTTCACATTTCTTCTCTTTCTTGCAGGTGCACAGTTGTGGAGAAGCCTCAGTGAAAGGTAGGTGACTTTCTTTCAATATTATGGCTAATGAAGGGTAGGTGACTGAACCACCAAGGTGTATCTCTGAAATAGTATTTTAATGATAGGGTGTTACAATAGTAATTTACAGAAGTGGGGAAATAAGACAAATTGACTTGGGGACAGGGCTAAAATTGGGACTCATTCTAAGAAATGGTTCATATGTTGCTGTAATATTGGGCAACATGCATGTGTGGGAGTCCTAATGTGTGAGGAGTGGAAGTGACAAGCAGGAGGCGTTTTCACTGGGGATTTCTTCTCAGACATCCTTCTGAGGTATGACTGACTCTGCTGCAGTGGAAGAAGAGCAGCACCGAGTCATGGAACCCTGTGCAGCATTCCCTAGGTGCCGGCCATGCGGCCAGTTCAGGGAACTTCGGGTGGGTGAGACAAAGAGGAGGGGCTGAGAGGTGCTCAGGCGTGAGGCGCAGCCGGTGTTGACTCCTTGCCATCACCGATCCTGATGTCAACATGCTGTTTCCAAATAGAAAAGAAACGAGGTGGGGCAGCTGATGAGGGGAACATAATTCGCGTCACCAACTGTGCATGTGAGATATGGAAAAAGGGAGAAAATACAAGGATCATGTTTCAGTAAAATGAGTTTTTGAAGTTACTGATTTTTAAAAATTCTGCCTTAAAAATGTACTTGTGTTACCTCAAGAGGGTTGGTTGGGTACTGAACTTATATCCAAGGGGACAGGGTAACACGAGTGCTCAAAAAGGAGGACAAGTAATGCCATGAAAAATCCTATGAAGAGGCGTAACCTGGTATTTTGTTCTCATGGAAATCATGCTTATTTCAAGTATAAAGACTAATTTTATGACCAGTTATCTTCTGCTTGTTCCTTCATTTTGGGTTCCACATTTTTATGGGCAGAACATAATTTTGCCAAGAGACTCCACAGAGGGAGATGTTGGATATAGAATAAAAATCCAATCCCAGTGGCTCTTAGGGAGGTGGAAGGAGGTGTGGGAGGGATGATACAGCCCAGGGAGGGATGGTTCTGGATCAGACATTTGTTTTGAAATGTTTTCTGGGGCCCGTATTTTGATTTGTGTGCCATGTGCAGGTACTTTAAGATTTTCTCTATATTTGATATAAATTTCCTTATGGAATATAAAGATGAAGAAAACTACATTACTCTTTTGAGATGATTTGGGAAATAGCCATGCATTTCACAATTTGTTAAAATGTATTAGCTGTTGGTCTTGTTTTCATGTCCCCATGTGCTTTTCTACCTTGTTATCTTTTAGGAAGGACATTTAAATTGAGAACTGTAAGAGAATGTAATAGCTGGAAATAGCATCTGGGTTAAGCAGTATAATTTTGGAAATCAATAAGATAGCTATGAAAAAAGAGATCCAATATGAATTTCTAGAATTATTTTAAATTACAGTTATACCCAGGCTATAATTTACTTTACTGCCAAAGTAAAAGGCAGTAGTGAAAGGAAGATGAAGAAAAGAAAGAAGCAAACTGAGGGTTTAAACTGTGATTCTTAAGCAGAAAACACATTTCTGACTCAGTAGTTGTAGAAAAACAGCAGATGAGAAATGTTGCTTACATTTTAGGGTTTTTTTTTTTGATGAATAACATAAGTGTGTATTCTTGTAAGTCAAGTAATTTGTGTACTGGAAATAGAAATTTAAGGCATATTGTCAATGGAAATGATAGTTTCTACAATTGTAATAAAATATGTATCGTGATTCGTTGATGAAAGTTTCCTATTTTCTTTTCCACTATTTTCATCTACCCAACCACTAAAGTTTAAAATACATTTCGTATTCGGTTCAGAGCTCTTTAGGACTAAAAGAATTCTATTTTTCCAGGCCTTATGGATAGAAACAAGGACTAATAATGTTTTAAAGCCTTTTCCATAGTTCAGCATTTCCATCTAGCAGTACAAATAAGTTTTATCCACACAGGCAACTTTTAAGATAAAATCTCCATAAATTAATTGACTTAGTAATTGATAATTTAATAGGCAAATAATTTGATGGGGGTAAGGCTTGGAATAGGATTACTATGGGCCCTTGTTTTGTTTGCCAGTCCCTAGTATATAAAGGAAATGTATCCAGTTCCAAAAATATGTCTAGGCTCAGAGGAGTGATACTTGCTAACCAAAGTCCCAAGACAATGATTTTTTTATTTTTTTATTTTGGTATCATTAATCTACAGTTACATGAGGGACATTATGTTTACTAGACTCCTTCCATCACCAAGTCCCCTCCACAAACCCCATTACAGTCACTGTCTATCAACGTACTAAGATGCTATAGAATCACTACTTGCCAAGACAAAGATTTATAAAAGTGAATGAAATGATCTGTTTCTGCTGAGGATTTAAAATGTCCAGTGACTTCAAAATGGTTCTCTCTCTTTTTCTTTAAAATAGATTTTATTTTTTAGAACAGTTGAGATTTACAGAAAAACAGAGAAAATAATACAGAGTTCCCATATGCAGACAGTACGGTTCCCCCACCTCCACTCACTGTTTCCCTATTATTAACATGGTAGTATTACATTATAATTGACCCTTGAACGATATGGGTTTGACCATGCAGGTTCACTTACACAGGGCTTTTTTTCAATAAAGATAATGGAAAATTTTTTTGAGTTTTGAGACAATTTCAAAAAACATTTTCTTTTCTCTAGCTCACTTTATGGTAAGAATACAGTATATAACACATATAACATATGAAATATGTGTTAATTAACTGTTGTCCATAAGGCTTCCTGTCAACAGATGGCCATCAGTAGTTAAGTTTTGGGGGAGTGAAAAGTTATACACAGATTACCGACTGTGGTGCGTTACCATCTGTGGGGAAGTACCTCTGGCCAGGATCCTCACCTGGCCTACACTACTTGATGATGTAATTGGCCTACTGCTGGGCTAATGCTTCAATACCCATAGACAATAAGCTGTTATTAACTGAGTCACTGTGTAAAGAGCTCTTCTCAGTGCTCTGGGCAGGCAGAGACAGCAATGGAAGTGGATCATGGACCTGCAGACTGCTGGATGCAGACATGATTCTAGTGCTCAACCTACTGCTATGAGAATAAAGCTGGACATAAACCCTTTTACCCCAAAAATGTTCCATTGTCATTTCTTGGTTTCACTGAATCCACAGTGAACTTGCCCAGGTGCTGAAACCCTTGGGTAAG